ATAAAAATAAGGCCGTAACTTAATCAATAAATAACACAAATTTTACTCCATTATTAAGATGGAGAATATGACTATAATTGTGTTAGTTAATACTTACGTTTACTGTGGGAGACCAATTAGTTACTGAGTAGAAATGAAGTTAATAATATTGCAGTTTGACTTTTGACTTTGGAATGCATAAAGCTAGCAAACCAAGCCTCCCTTCTATATTTATCAACATTTAAGTAAGACAAAATGAATTTTAATAAGAACAAATAAAAAATAATAATATTGTATTTAAAGAAAGCTATGAACAAAAGATAATCTGACCATCACAGTCATCAGTATTTCATTCACACAATATGTAAGACAATATTTTAGCCATTAAACATTTTTAGATTTAACACCCAAGAGTTTAAAGTGAATATGTTAAATATTTATTGAATAAAAAATTGGTACCTTTAAAAATTAGATTTTAATTGAAATAAAATTAACAGGCCAGGCATGGTGGCTCACACCTATAATCCCAGCACTTCAGAAGGCCAAGGCGGGCAGATCACCTGAGCTCACGGGTTTGAGATCAATCTGACCAAAATGGTGAAATCCGGTCTCTACTAAAAATACAAAAATTAGGCAGGTGTGGTGGTGCATGCCTGTAATCCCAGCTACTTGAGAGGCTGAGGAAGGAGAATCACTTGAACCTGGGAGGCAGAAGCTGCAGTGAGCCGAGATCACGCCATTGTACTCCAATCTGGGCAACAGAGCAAGACCCCATCTCAAACAAACAAACAAACAAACAAAAAGATTATTCACGAAAATGGAAGTAAAATTTCCACAAATGTATAGAGCCAAAACCAGAGAAATAAATACAAATGGAATGGAGAGAAATTGTCCTTAAGGCTGGAAATGGGTTCTTACAATACCTTCAACAAAAAAGGGTAAATTATTTTCAAAATAAAAAACATTAATTTCGTTATCAATAGGAGCTTCTTAAGTGTGTAGTTCAAGAAAAAAGAAATGAATATGAGTGAGAGAGTATGCACGAAAGAGAGAAGGGAAGGTTACCAGGGCTGGGCCCAGCCAAGGCTTTGACATCACCTTGTTTGCCTACTATAGGGATGAACTAGGTGGACACGTGGCCGTATTATTACACTATATTAATACAAACACACCTTCCAGCCCTGGGAAGCAGCATACAATTCTGCAGCCAAGAGATGTTAGAATGCTGCTGGAGGATTCCAGGATCTCACAGGCTAGATTTCAGAGTCCTGGATTTCAGACTTTTCAAGGACATGTGCCCATCTGGGGTTCAGGCATAATAGACTATATTTACTGATGGTGACTGTGTGCATGCCACCAAAACGTGTTACACTATTAACTCACTTAAAGGACTCCATGAGGCAGATACTGCTATCTTGACTTTACAGAGGACACTGAGCACGGGCAAGTAACTTGCACGTGGTCACACAGCTGGAAATAGCAGAGCAGCTGGGATGTGAAACCAGAGTTTGTGTACTTAGACATAGCGCAGTCCTGCTTCATTGCAGAACAAGCTTCTGTGTGTGAGCTCTGATGGCAAGGCAAGCTGGCTGGTCTAGATCCTGGCTCCTCTACTCTGGGGCAGAATGGTTGATCAAGTGACCTGCTGTGCTTCATTTTCCTCCTCTGTAAAA